CAAATATGCTCTTAGTGAATACTGTGATCCCCTGGTTTAAAATTTTAAATTGTGTCTCTACAATCTATTTGTTTTTTTATATTTTTATTAAGTTCGGTGACTCACTTTTTTTATGTCGGAGATTTGACTTTTAGATAAGTTGTATTTTATGAGCAACTAACACCGATCCTAATCTTCCCAATGTCATTTAGACACCGAGTGTTAAGTGGACGAGTCACAAGTTGATTCGCGTTTAGGTGTGTTACATGAGTTGAATTAATAAAAATCTAATATAATTGATTGTGCATCATAATAAGTATTCTTAGAATTCATATGTATTCACAGTGTAAAAATATGTTAACTTTAGTTATGTAGACCTATAATAACATAGCAACTTTAATAGCAAAGTCTGACATACTAACTAAGAAAATAGAATATTAACTTATCTATATTATTATAAAAGCATGAATATAATATCGGTTTACAAAAATAACCTTATAATATTAAGAATTATAACTCATAATAAAAGGACATAACCAAAATTTTAGATATTAGTAATCCTATTAGTTTTAGGACATAATACTACACGTTAGGAATCCTACATGATTAGCTTAAGGAATCCTATTAGTATAATTACTTTCGGGCTGTCTAATTCATATAAAATTGAACAAGTAAATATCTACCTATTCTTTACTTTTTGGCCTTCGAATTAAAGTTCTTAAAGGCTATGCGAATCTTGGTGAAGAGAAAAACATGGATGCCATATAGCATAAATAAATAAATAAATAAATAAATAAATAAATAGGGATATCAGGATTAAAATTTGCACAAATATTTCTTGAAATCTAAAAGGGATATTCCAACAGAATAATTAGTACGTAATTGAACCGAAAGATGCTTAAGAGTTAAGATCGACTTTAATAAAATAAAATCGACAGCTGATACCCACTAACTGACTAAATACTATTATATATCATAATATTCATTGATAATTATAGCAATCTCTCTCAACACTTCACTTATGGTTTGAATATTATAATTATCTTTCCTAGCTCAATTTCTCTGTGTACGTTATTTATTTTAACATAATGAAAAATAAAGTTTCAATACTAAAATTAATTTCACTAATGTAATCTATCAAACGAAGATGAAATAAGTAATTTAAAATAAATATCATAAAGTAAGAAAACTGACGGAAATAGGAGAACTCAATCTTTTCAAATATTATATCTCATCTTTTATGATAGCTTTAAATTTTTATTATAAAGAAACGCAAGAAACAAAAAAAATTGAATTATATGCTATGCAAATTACACTTAATTTCCGATTATGAGAGTTACTCATGGAAGCGAAAGTAAAGAAATTAAAAAAAAAATCCACTTGTGTTACGATTATAATTTTTGAATAGATTTAGAGCTCTCCCTCCAGGTTTCGTTTTATGGCACTAAATTCCTTGATTATAAAAGCATGAATACAATGTCGGATTACAAAAATAACCTTATAATATTAAGCATAGTAACTCATAATAAAAGTACATAACCGAAATTTTAGATATTAGCCTTATAATCCTATTAGTTTTAGGACATAATACTACACGTTAGGAATCCTACATGATTACCTTTAGGAATCATATTAGTATAATTACTTTCGGGCTGTCTAATTCATATAAAATTGAACAAGTAAATATCTTTAGTCATGTAATCTTATTACTTTTAGGATATACATCTTAAAAAATTCTATTACTAATTTAATTTAAAAACGTATTATAATGTCCTATTACTAATTTAATTTGAGAATGTCTTATATTGTCCATATCCATTTAGAAAAATGAGAACATATATTATTATAAAAGCATAAATATAAAATTAATATACCAAAATAGCCCTAAAATATTAAACGGAAGAATTCATAGGGGAAGGACATAACTGCAATTACCTATTTTTTGGACTACAATACCTTCTATGCTAATTTTTAATATTTAAGATTTTAAAATTAATAAAAGTTTGTCCATTAAATTCTTTTTAAAAATATGTAGTAAGATTTAATAAAATCAATCGCATAAGAATCCTCTGTATTGGCAATACATTACCACTCCATAATGTCCAATACCAAGATAAAATAAAAGTAATATTAAATGGACTGCATAAAGAATTAAAATTGAGAGAAAAATATCCCACGATAATATATTTTTATATTATATTTAAACTATTTTCCTACACAAATAATATTTTTTATCAATTTTTTGTGTAATATTAAGAAATACTCAATTATTAAACAACAACTAAGAAAATATTTAAGAATATAAATGTATGAGAAAGAGAAAAAAAACGGTTGGTAAGAGTCAATACCACTAATGATTCTACATACATAAACATCTAAAAGTGAAATGTCATATCACTCTTTTACTCTTTGAAAATAAAATTTATGGTGGATAAAAGTATAATTAAGATTAAATATTCAAAACAAGAGATGAACTAATATTAAGATCTGAATCAACATTGAATAAATTATTTTTTATGTTAAAATCAAATAATTAAATCTTTTAATTAACTATTTAGCAAGAGAATCCAATTCTATTATTTTTTAAATTCATCATATGAATAAAATTCTTATTCAAGTTAAAAAAAATAATCTTAGGGTACATAAATTTATTCCATAAAAAGAATGTTAGAACACAAAGTAAAAATGCTAGTATATTATTAAGAATCAAAATGTTATACAAGTGTATGAGGAAGCACAATCAAAGCTAAATCCTAAACAAGAACAAGCTTTCAAGACTATATTATAAAGAGTCGACTTTGCTATAACGAGATTATTCTTTGTAGATGCCTCCGGTGTAATCGGAAAAATATTTCTATGTCATGCATTATTTGCAAATATCATATCAAGAGGCTTGACACTGTTAGCAATAATAGCAAGTGATGTACCAATAACGATTTTATTGCAAGGCCACCCACTTTAGATTTGATATACCTCTTCAAATAACTAAATAGCCGTCACAAATATATCAAAGCAGAGCAATGATGCTAAATTTATAAGAAAAGCAAAATTGATAATATTGGATGAAGCACTTATGGCTAAGTGTCAAACGATCGAAATAATTGCTCGGATTTCTAGAGATATATTAGATATTAATGAATCGTTTGGTGGAAATCAATGGGTTGGGAGGTAATTTATGTCAAGTACTACCAATAGTTCCAAAATTGACAAAAGCAGAGACTGTAAAAGCTAGCTTGCCAAAGTTATACTTCTGGCCTCAAATGAAAAAGATTCAACTAACAAGAAATATAAAGTAAGAACATATCCAGTATTCAGTGTCTTCTTACTTCGTATCGGAAACGAAGAAGAGCATCCAATAAAAGAAGATTTGGTTCTTCCTGAACACTCGGTTATCAATCCCAATAATGATAGTAGTGCATTTAATAAGAGAAATATTTCCATCATTAGATTAAAACGCAATTTGTGCAAATCACATGATAGAATTAAAAATATATATTAGCTAGCAGAAATGAATATGTTGATCAACTAAATAAAAGGTTGATTGAAAAATTTTATAGTAAAAATAAAATATTTTTCTGTTTCTGACTCAGCAGAAAATGATACCAATAATTACTACCAAGAAGAATACTTAAATACTTTAATACCAAACGGCCTTCTACTATACATATTTATTGTCAAATTTATTATTTCTTACGTATGTTAGTGTCACCGTATATATAATAGACTAAGTTAAAATTGATCTTCCATTGTATATAGGTTGATTTTGAAGAAAAATATGCCCGTCGTGCTATTGAAAAACTTAGATACGTCGAATAACTTACGTAATAGCACACAAATGGTATATAGATGTTTTGGCAATAACGTCATACATGCAAAAATTATGATACTGGTCAATGTGCTTCTATGTATATTCTATCCCTGAATTCAACTTTCGTCTTTCGAAACTAAGGAATATCTGATTTAATTTGTATGAAAATATTTTTAGTATGTTTATGTTTTGCAAATATAATAAATAATGCACAAGGACAAACATCCTAAATATTGGACTATATTTATCGCAATATGTTTTCTTGCACGAACTACTGTATGTTGCACTTTCAAGAGGGATATCAAGATCGACAACAAGAGTTTTGGTTAAGGCAAAGCAACCAAAGTATTAGGAGGAAAGATACACAAAAAAATATTGTCCACAAAGAAGTGTTCGTTAAGGTACCATCACATTAAATACTTTTAAACTATAATACATAATTATCTAACTAACATGACAAAATTGATTATTTGTGTAAGTTTTGATGATGTCTTTTTATTTTAAATTCATATATTATGCTAATGTAATAATATTTTTCGCCATTTACTAATTGTCGTATTATTATACATAAAATTTCTCTCATTAATTAAATTTTGACCTAGTTCATTATGTACAAATCATCTTGGATAACCGGCCTTTGATTGTACTAGGAAGGATTACTCACTTTAGTGTGAAATAATTTGATCCAAAAACACTCCTAATTATTGAATAACTTTAAAAAAATACAGACAGCATATACAGTGTATCGTTTCGAATAATTTTAACCGCAAAAGGCAAAATTTAATGGAACGACAGCGACAGAAGGTCACCATAATTCGAACTTGTAACAGTAAACAAATTGTTATAGATGTCACAAGAAAATTTTCTGGAACCTAATCGATTGAAAGTTGAATAGCTTAAATCATTTTGAGATCAGTTAGTTGGAAAAATTGGTTTTCTGTCTTCAAACAAGCATTTCACTCTTTTTGGTTGTACTTTGTCCTCCGAAAAATCAAAATAACTGGCTTTCGAAACATTCCTTGTTAATATTGGCTTTTAAAGTAATAAACAACCGTTACCTCACCTAATAATTTCAGTCAATACAAAATCTAAGGCATATAATTAGAGTATAAAGAATTTCCTTTACAGAAAAAAGGTAAAAATAATATATTCAAATTCAGCTTTCTTTTTTCTTAACCAAAAGAAACTACGTATTTCTATAGTGTTTTGGAAATGAACAAGAAAGATCTGGAGAGATTTTTCCAGCTTAAGATAGTATATGATAAGTGGGCGTTACATGAAAATTTAAAGCGCCCATACCATCTTTTTAACACACTCACTACCATTCATATGAAACCATTGGGCTTGCTATAAACAAGTTACAATCACATAAAGGCATTCATTTGATAGAAGAATGCCCACAAGACCTGTTAAAGTAACCAATGTTTCAATACTAACCAAATCCATGGCACATAAAGCAATGACAACATCAACACCTACAACATACTTGTAGGTTGTAGTAACCTACTTTGAATTCCATATAAATGCAGTCCACTTACATAGAACTAGGACTCCTTTTCCTTTGACGCATCAGTCGCAGCAGGCTCAGACTCCTGAGAGCCAGGGTTTTCCTTTGATGCATCAGTAGTAGCAGGCTCAGACTCTTGAGAACCAGGGCATACGACAAGTCTCTCAACAGGGATCTTCGTGACATCACGACGTACTCCAATATCAGAAACAAACCGGCTGACACAGTAAACCCCATAACCCACAGCGGCTAGACCAGAAACGCTTGTAGTCAGAAAGCGCAGTGGTGATGAAACAATAGCAGTTGTGGCAGCTAAAAAGGATGTTGCCTGCCCACTCCGACCTACACNAACACTGATATTTGTAAAGACTAGCAAACCGGTCTTGCAGTAGATAGCGAAATCCTCACAGTTGTTCTTGAAAATGTTGTAAACCCCAAAACCATTCTGAAGCAGAAATTCAGCACGGTGCAGGACGTGCTCCCGTGGATCAGAAGGGGCAAGAGTGCATGTTCCTCCTCGAGTTTTAGCAATAAATAGGCTTGGGGAGACACCATACTGAAAAAGATAGAGTTCACCCCCATAAAGAAAACATTCAAGGCATGA